GGCATGCCGAACTCTATAGCTTTTTCTTTTATTTGTTTTATTACAAATACTGCGTCTGTTATAGACCGCCCTTTTGTAAAACCTTGTTGTTCTTCAGCATTAGTGATTTGCTTTTCCAATTTGTCCTTGAGAATACCCGTGAAAAGTTTCATTGTTGTATTTAAGAGGGTTATTCCTCTATAGTTTTGTGGGCAGGTATTTTGTCCTTTTTTAAATATGGGGATTGTGATACTATTATGCCATTCCTCTGGTGTTTCTGTTTTGTTTAGTATTTTGTTAAATAGTTGTGCCAGTTTACTTGCAAGTTCCGGGCCTCCATATTTTAAAAGTTCATTGGGTATACCATCCGTTCCCGGTGATTTTCTATTTTTTAGCTTTTTGATCTTTGCTTCTACTTCTTCGTCATTGATTGTAGCACTCACATCTGTTTCGCCTTCGTTTATATTCAGCGTACGATGACCGTAATTTACATAAAAAGCTTAAGGAGACTGCTGGAATATACAGAAAACGAAGACCAAGTACCATAGTTAATCAGAATAACCAGATAGTGCTGGTTAAAAAGGAGAAAATTGATATATGGGAAAATTATATCCAGGAGCTCTTCCATGACGAAAGACCCATGAGTGAAGTTTATACAGACGACCAGCTGACTGGCCCTTCAATCACCAAAGAGGAGATAGAACAAGCAATATTAAATTCAAAAAACAATAAGGCACCTGGACCAGATGAGATCCCGTCAGAAATACTCAAATTACTAGATGAAAGGGGAATTTCAGCACTACACAAAATATTTAATTTAATTTATGAAACTGGTGCTATCCTCAACAGTGGTTACGCTCTACCTGTATTCCCCTGCCCAAGAAAGTCAATGCAAAAAGATGTGAGGATCACAGACTCATTAGCCTGATGAGTCACACTTTAAAGATATTCTTAAAAATACTACATCAAAGATTATACAAAAAATGTGAATGGGACATCAGTGATTCCCAGTTCGGGTTTAGGCAAGTTTTAGGAACCCGAGAACCAATAGTAGCAACACAGGTGCCGGTCCAAAATTGTTACGATCAGAGGAAGGATGTGTTGGAGTATTGATCAACAACATACGATATGCTGATGATGGTGTCTTAATTTGTGACAGCATAGTCGACCTTCAACAACTTGTCACTATAATCGGAGAATACAGTAAGTGAATGGGATTAGAGATTAATACCAAAAAGACCAAATTCACGATCATCTCCAGAAACTTGGATGCACTTGAAAACTCCACCATAACACTGAATACTAAATCCATTGAAAGAGTGAGTAAATTTAAATACCTGGGATCGTGGCTTTTTGAAGACTGGGCATCGGACAGGGAAGTAAAATGTCCCATTGAGCAAGCTCGACAAGCTTTCGTAAAATTCAAGAAGGTAATGAGTTGTTCAGAGTTTGATCTTCAACTGAGACTAAGATTTACTAAGTGCTAGGTATGGTCAGTGCTGCTATATGGCGTAGAGGTCTAGACACTCAAAACGAGGGATATAAACAGATTAGAAGCTTTCGAAATGTGGCTTTATCGCCGTATCCTAAAAATACCATGGACAGCGAAAATCACAAATATAGATGTCCTTAAAAGAATAAACCAAGAACGCCAACTTTTCGAAACCATCAAGAAAAGGAAAACGGCGTATCTAGGTCACATCATGCGAAATGAAAAATACCAGTTCCTCCAACTTATAATCGAGGGTAAAATTGAAGGCAAGAGAGGAATGGGACGCAAGAAAATGTCCTGGCTCCGAAACATAAGGCAATGGACAGGGATTAATGACATTCAATATCTCATACATATTGCCAGAAATAGAGAATTAATGGAAAATGTGATCGCTAACATCCATTAGTGGATTTGCATCTGAAGAAGAAGAAAGATTTTAGCTATTGGTATTGGTTATTTTTCGTCCATCGTGTTTTACCGAAGTAAAGAAATGTGCTCAGCAATGATGACCATTGAAAGTTTTAAATCGTAAGATAAAGTAAATAATGGAAAAAGGGCTAAAGTCTTCTAAAATTACTCAGATGTTCGTAATTTTATGAGTCTAATATAAAAGTGCGACAATATTAATATATATCGAAATTATTAGCTTTCTCAACATGAAATAACTTAATTTAAGGATTACTAATATTACCTTTCAGGGGATGTATAACATGACCCCCTTTACTATTTAAAAAAATTGAAGGTGTGGCTGCCACCTGATGCGACATATCGAAATACCGAAACGTTGATATAATTAGATATTAGAACAAGTTTAAAAATTGACGTGTCCGAGCAATTTTGTTTTATCTTTAAAATTAGATGTTTTTATTTCGGTCCAAAATAAATTTGTAAGGTCGGAAACCGTTTTTCACTTTTACCACAAATTGCGGTTAAGTCTTATTGTATATTAACTAAAAAAAATAAAATGTCATAAAATAGCACCAAAACAATATTCACAATTCTACGTTAACAGAGATATGGAGTAGAATCTCAGAGGAAATATAAAATTAATCTAAACTGAATACCCATATGTGAAGAAAGTTTTCCAGTGTCTTAACGTCTTCCAGTAGGGGACACTGCATCGTTATCAACGAGTCACGCAACCCAATCTCTCACCTTGCTATACTCATCCACCTAGTCACTTGTTAAGCTAGCCCGCTAAGCCATCCAGGCTAAATTCAACTAGATAAAAGAAAATTGGAAAAAACAACTAATAGTAAAATAAAAAATACACTACAAAATCAATAAGGCCTGTTTAAAAAAATAATTGAACCAAGAAATATAAGTGATTACCGGCGATGACCACAAACTGTAACTGTTATAGATAAAAAATGGTGGAAATACCATTTTAACCAAAATTTTCTAATCTAATAAAACTATGACTTTATATTAGTTTATACTCTCAGTATCAAAAGACCTGGATATGTGTGGCAATAAACTATTTAAAACCTAATATTTTAAACGCCCGACAGTCTGACATCCAAACAAATAAAAGATAAGATACAATCCGAACATTGTCACCCTGTATACCGCTCTCTACCTGAGGACAAGATAAAAAATTATTAATAAGTTAGTTATCGTTCTGATATTTAGTTTACGGTTGGAAAAAAAATGGTGCGTCTACAAAAACTAATCGTATTAGATTAGAATCTAATCTAATCACGAAAACGACCTCTACAATTTTTTCCGTATGGAAACTATTAGACTTAGTGATTTTTTTGTGACAGTATATCAATGTCGTTGCATTTTTTTAAACTTCTTAGGTATGTAACATTTTTCATGTATGTATATTTAGATCTAACAACTCGACGGCCCAAATAATGAATTCGATGCTTATATTATCGTATTTTCGCTCTCAGTAACACTTTTTTATAGATTTTTCGTTGCATTTTCTTCTCAGCCTAATTTTAAGTTTTTCTAGCTTCTCTCCTTTTTACTTATGTTAACGGTATGATAACTTTCTTAATAAATTTATAACTTTTTTTAGCCACTAAATACGTTAACTTCAGCCAATAATAAACAGCCCCGCACACTTAAACACTAAGTTTATTTTTAGTAAAATTAAAAAGTATTAAAACATCTTCCAATTTTTTTAATATGTGTTCAATAATAAACCATAAAATAAAAAACAAGTTCCAAAATGTTGATATATTTAACAACAAATAAAAATTTAAAATTGTTTTTATTCCGGAGTAAGATTTTTTTAAATTGAAATCATAAAATATTTTTAAAAATCTTGATATTAAAATCAAATATTACCTCCTTAACCTAATTTAACTAAACTAAATACACTACAATTCTGGAAATCAAAAGAAGAATTACAATGGGAGAGCAACTAGGATTACTTTTCGCACCCAGTTTTTATCCTTTCTGATATAGACTGGATCAAATTAGCAATCTCGTTTTGCGGTATTTGTTCCCACTCATTTACCATAGTCTGTTTTAACGTTACCAGAGTTTCAAACCCTCCATAACAAATGCTATAGGGGGTTAAGGTATAGATTTCTAGAAGGACAGGCTAGTATTCGAATACCAACTTCCATAAAGTATTGCACTGTTACCCTGGCTATCGGTGGCCGAGCATTATCGGCCACCGATTATATTATTAATTTTGCGGGCCCTGTATAATATAAAACACAAATGTTTTTAATTTTTACACAATGTATTCTAACTTGACATGTTTTACTGAAAGATTAACATCATCAGAATAATGATAATTTAAATCTAACAACTATTGTTAAGCACAACATGTATATAAAAATAAAAAAGTTGTCTTATTACTTTTTACCAACTTAGTACATAAAGAGAGTAACGGTGGTATTCCCATATATGTTTGTTCGTTAAGAATCAAGTCAGTATTTTTTAAACGACTAATTTTTAAAATTTAAAGGTTTTTCCTTTTTTGTTATTTGTATCAAATTTAAAAATTATGGTTTTAGTCTTGGGGCAAAGGGGGTCTTGTAAATGATTGAGGTCCATGAGATTTCACATGATAATCCGAATTTTTGGCAGCAATTTGTTATTAACAATTAAATTGTTTAAATGCTATAACTAATAAACTACAAAATATATAACTTTTTTTAAAATTATGTATTGTTTCTTTTAAAAAACAAACCAAACAAACTTTTTAACGAAAAATTAAAATCAATCCATTAGAAGCCGAGATTTTGCACAAATTATTGTCTATTTTTGCTTATAACTTTGCCTTTGCAATGATACACGTAATTGTTTTCTCCTTCTCTGAAAAAGTTACTGATGCACATGTTTAGATCCCTTTTTGGATACAACAAATACAAGTTTATTATTAAGTTATAGTCCTGTTTCGTCCTTGTTAAATAAACTACCGGGCTTCTCTGTTAACTCATAACTTCCTTTAACAGATCAAAGTAATCGCTTATAACCTTTTTGTTCATGCACTGACTTCTTGCTAGGAATACGCCTTCCGATTTTTTATAGTCAGGTCAGGGTTTCTTCTTAAGAATGATTATAATCAGTCAAAATCTGTTAGTTTTTTTTCTTTATTAAAAGTAGTTTTAATTTTTAATTCTTTTGCTAATCTGAAAGCCATTTCTCTAACTTCAGATGTTGTAGGTGCAAAACCAGCTTTCTTCTTTTTTCTTTCTTCGCTGAGAACACTACTTGCTCCCAATGCACTTTTTCTTTTATTGTTACTTTTCATTATTCTTCTTAATGTAGGTGCCGGCACTTCAAAATTCCTGGCGCCAGCATTGACCTCCATTTTTTCATTTCTTACGGCATGTATGGCTGATTCGAGTTGATTTTTAGTCCATAAACCACGTTGGCAATTTTCTTCCCTTTTATATTTCGTTGGCAGGGCTGAAAATAAAGTTATTTATTAAAAAATATCCCATTATAAGTAACTAAAGAGCTAGGCCATCGTCAAAACGCAACTTCAATAAAATACTGACAAAAATAAGTGCACAATACTTTTGACGATTACCGCAAAAAGTTTAAAGATATAAATAAAAATTTCTAAGTAACTTACCTTTATTTGACTGAGTCATCTCACCCGATGAGCATTCTCTAAAATGAGCAACATTTAACTCCTGAAGAAATTCATATATATATATATATATAATATATATATATATATATATATATATATATATATATATATATGCATATATATATATATATATATATATATATATATATATATATATATATGCATTTCTTAAACGTGCAGTATCTGTACAACTTGGTAACTTGGTACCAATTCATACACTGACGAATAAAGTATTTCGACTTTCTTGGGCATTAAATTTTCTTTGTCTAACACCCACTCAAAATCTTTGGGATTCAAAATACTGAGCAATTTATCTAAGCAATTTCGTAAAACAGATAAATATAAATGTTTAAGGTTACATTAATACAAATGGTAGAACATGCCGTACTTGCAGCTTATGATGTGGAACCAAATATCATATCGATGGGCCACGCAAGGTGATGCTGAAGCACACACTGCGACCACTACCATTATTTTCTATAAGAGCGAAATATTCAAACGGTAGATTGGACTGCAATTAACCTGGCTTCGAATTTTATCGAACCAGTTATTTGACCGTTTCTCAAATCGTCCAAATGCTCCCAAAACCATACCATAATTAGAAGTATTAATCAAATAATTGAAAAACACATGGCCAATGATTCATGCTTTGTATGATTGTTAATTTGACTACTGAAGTTATTTGTTCTGCTACAGAGACACGCAGGATATTGAATATTCTGTAAGTATAAAGTAAAACGCAGCAACAACACCGTCATAAGTCAAAAATTGCCAATTTGAGTAAATCGGGTATGAAGATGATCCTTACTAATTAATGTTGGATTATTTCTATAATTAAATGAAAGTTTTGTTTATTTTTACTTCAATAGGATTAATTTAGGTTGTTTTATCAATTAGCATTGTGCATAGAAATTTGAAACTAACATAGGTACTAATTATTAAGAAATGTGTCTATGTTGCTGAAAACCCAAAGGTGTTTTTCTTCCAAAACCACAAAATTGTGATAGGATATTTCTTCTGTTTTTCAATCAAGGAGTGCATGTTGTCCCCTTTATTTTGCTTATAATAAACAATCAAAAACTTTAAGTGATCAAAGGAATATCGGGTTTGCTTACTATTTACGAGGTTGTAAATTTTTTTGTTCTCTCCATAGCAATTGTCGCAGTAAAATACAACAGGAAGACCTTTAGAGCATTCATTTTTAAGAAATGAGTATAATCATGATCCTATCTCGTTAGATGCACAGTTACTTTCTCCTTCGTGCCAAATGTAGCAGAAACCATTCAATAATCGTGAGTCAAATATAGTAAAGTTATTCGTACTTAACTTTGATTTTCAGTTAAAGGAGTTAATGCCCCAAAAAGTATGTGGAGAACTGCCTGTAAATCAAAAGAGACCGTAGTACACTCACGTGCTTTGCTTCTTTGCTTATCTTTATCTTTTTTTATGACAGATCTTTTTCCTTTAAATAACGATCACAATTTTTCTGTAAATTGACCTTACTCTTTGTATTTTTATACTCTGCACACATACTGCACTAATCTTTCTTAGGATGGAAAAATGAGATATTAAAAATTCTTGAGAACATGGTGACATTCTGATAACTTTTATTTTCTTCCATACAAATTGTTTTCTGATAGCTGTCTCTATAGATGTATTTTGACTGATTGGTCATTCTTCTATGACAAATTCACAAAAAACCCATTTTTTAATAAACAGAAAACACATCACAATGTGGATTTCAGAATAATGTGACAGTGTTGTTGTCAAGACCCATCGCTATTAGTAAATAATAGTAGTATAGCTCACTTAATTTGAAAAAAATATTTATCTAAAAATTACTGCAATACTGTCATAAGTGAGTTGTTACACTATTGTTGAATAGAGTTCTACAAAAGCAGTTATAGCTATAATGGACATAAGTCGCCATCTAGCGCTTATATGACAAAATATCTTTTCGACAGTGATGCTGACGAAAGTTTAACAAAATACCTATTTATTACAACAAAAATTAAAAAATACTGAATTTCGACTTGTGACAGTGTTGTTGCTGATGTGCGAAATGTTTTTTATTGCATTTATATTGTTAATTACATCTTAACGATGAATGAGTCCTTAATGGTTATATTTAATAATTAATTATGTAATTAATTAGGTAATTAAAAGAGGAATTTTCAAAAGTTATTTTGTTTAATTTGTGTATTAATTGTAACTCTAAATTGTTGGAAAATACTTTTGAATTAGTTTTTTTTTTTCGTGTATATATCACAAGAGAAAAAATTTTGCCGGTAATATTTTCGACTGGTATGAAAATTTGTTGCCTGGCAATTTTAGAGAAATTAAATTTTGACAGTTAAATCACGAGACGTCAGTCAAGTGATTTTGTCAAAATTTCATTAGCGAAAATTGCCAAAAGGCAACAAACTTAAATAAAACCAGAAGAAAATTTGGCCGGTAAATAATTTTCTCTTGAATGATATTCGACAAGACTATTTCACGACACAATCAATGCAGAATATTAACGAAACAATATATATTTATTAGTTAACAATATTAAATGTTCAATTATTATACGCTATAGTAGTTTACCCATTATTTTCTACCAAAGCATGATTTTGTGTATTATTGACCTATAGCATTTGGGAACTCGAATGTCCAGCTTGATTTGTTGTTCTGAGATTTTCGAACAACTTCTGGTAGTGACTGGAATCCAGCTGCAGATATAGGTTGTATCTGAGTGACCCGTTAATTTAATTAAATCTTGTTCAGAAACACCTTGCTTGAACAAAGCTGACACAGCTAAAGATCGATGAGAATGATTTGTTATTTTATGATTTTTTGTGTCTATTCTAATTTTTTCAGCTAACATTTTTGTCCACTTAAATACGGTGTTGATTCCAAGTGAACAGTTTTTGAACCAAGATCCATTTTTCTAGTTGGGGTCTGAAAAAAAGAGTCTGTCTGATAAAATCCCCTGTTTTCCATTAATTTCTAACTTGGCATAAATTTTCGTTTGATAAATTTCTTACCAGCCATTTTCTGCTTGTCAAACTTTTCTAACCTTTATTTGTTTTCAAAAAAATGCTGTTGTATTTAATTCGGCCCGTAACTTCTCCCACAACATCAAATTTCTTCTGGAAAAAGTAAATGTTGCAGATTAGGGCCTCATTGCCTCTCCAAGCAAGTTCAAATGAGCAAAGGTGAAAAAACTTTTTTTGTGTTCCATCGGGGATAACTCGTCTTAGCTTTGGATGATTTTTAATAGTATCTCTGATCAATCTTGACCTTTGAAAGTTATATCTGAGAAAGGGTTGATTTTTATGCCGTACTCCGTAAAATATTTTTCTCATACCATTTTTGCTGTAGTATTACACAACTTTACAGATGACCCTTTGGTCTTTGTCATTGCCTTTTCTTATGTTAAAGGCATAATCCTCGAGAATTTTTGCTAGTTTCGTTATGGTAGTCTTTCAATCGTAAAATTTCTCACCCGTAGAATCTCTGAAAATTGGGTCCAAATAGAGCTTCTGGACCTCTGCGTGTTTAATGGACATTTTTCGAAACCAAGGTTTTGATTTCTTCACCTGACTGGCATTAAAATCTGCATTTTTCGTCTGGATTCATTATATCTGTCCAAAATTGATTACGCCTCAATGACGTTGGTCACACTGACAACAATAGAATTACCAGACACCTTCGTGACGAATCTGTAACGATAATTTTGTCAGTAGGAAACGTGGCGTTATTATGACTTTTTATCAGTTAAAAATAGTCTAGTAAAATAGTCATTTATAAAAATACCCATAAAACGAAACAAAAACGCAAGAGATAAAAAAATGAGGATAAAGGTAAATCTTCTTGTATACTATTTTAATAGACTTATTTTCCTTTCTGTGAGTAATCAATAAGTGATTGTAGATATTTAAATAGAGAATAATTTTAAGTATGTCATGCTGTAATAAAAATATTGTTCATATATTCCTTATGTACCTATTTATATTAAGTACATTTATATTTTCTTACATATTTTAATGCAGATTTTATTTATTTATTATGTCAATTATCCAATGAGGATCTTTTCGGAATACTAAATGGTTCTAGTAAATTATTTCTTTTATGTATGTAAAAAAACTTAGTCTAAATTGGTCTGATAAATTGTAATAAATGTACTTATAGATAAAAAAACTGTTATAAAGATAAAAAATTAATGGTCCCAAATCCTCCTATGGTACTGATACAATATATGAATTACATGCAAGCGTGTCCACTAATCAATATACAGGGTGGCCGGATAAATACGAAACAGAAACATTATTAGGAACTGCAACATTTCTGAAAAGCTAACAACGCGTTTAAAAGCAATTCCCTATACATTATGGAATTATTAAATTAGGTCCAATACGTTATTTGATTTATTTAGACAGAATTGCATTTTAAACTTTATTATATTTACCTGCTTAACTAGTTCATTAAGTACGCTAATGGTTTAGATTTTAATTTCTCTCTTCGCATAATTTTCATTTTTTTTATCACATTTGTCACACTATGTTATAATATGATACAAAAACATAAAGAACGTGAAATTTGAGGATTCTCTTGTTAATATTACTTGTAAGCATTCATTTATAGTCTTAAAAAATTATTATCATGTTTTATTCCATTCTGGAATGGTAGATAACATTTCGTTGCATTGTATGAATATTAAATATGTCAATATGACAGCTCCGGAAAGATAATGAAGCTAGTTAAGTTGCAGTGTTAAAACATGTACGACAACAAGTACGAGGCAAGCAGCAGCTGTATCTGGAATCAACCAAACTAGTGTCAAAGCCATTTTGAAGAAGAACAAATTTCATTCATATAAAATAAACTTAATGCAGGAACTTAATGAGTATGATTTTGACCGACGGCGCCATTTATAGTTTTGTGAAATAATTAGTAAGCGAGGAGTGACTGATTCACAGTTTCTCCTTATCCTTCTTCGATTAATGCACTTGC